CTATCGACAAAGACTACTCACTTCTGCCTAGCTTATACTCTCTCTGGTTATATCAGTTTCCGTTTTTAAAAGCGCTATATGTTGAGCCATCTCAGCTAGATTTGGCATGTGACATTTTTAGCGGCAATCATTGGTCGATTTTCTAGCGTTGCCATTCGGGGAGTTGTAATGAGGCTTTTTTTTGTCGCCGTGTAAGAGAAATATATATATAGATTATGTTTGGTAATTGTTATGCCGAATAGTTAAAACTGTTTTCTTTATTCAATTTTAAAAAGTGAAAAATGAAAAAGATTGCAGTTAAAATCAGACAATGTAAAAATTTTGTGAGTAAAATATGTATTCATACACAAGTTAATTTCAAGGTATGCGTTGAGTTCGAAGCCAGTTTTATTTTGATGAATATCCAATAGTATAAGTCATTGTGGGGATATTGTTGCCGCTTGAATAAAATTCCATTTCAAAATGTGAATAACTGTTAAGTTAAATTAAGCAAAAATATAAACGATTAAAAATTTAATTTTTAACTCGCTATTTTTTTTGTCAATGTAAGAGTAAGATTTACAAACGGTAAGTGTAAATCATAGAATGAACACTATGATTCACGCTTAGCCTGTACCTCGAGATCACTATATAAAGTTCTCACTAAATATTCATTTGTAAATATCATACGCATTCTCTTTTGTTTACAAATATATTTTGATAGATAGGAATCAGGGCTGCCTTATTTCTAAGTTGTATGGAGAAATGTATTCTACTGGTTTATGGATTTATGTTTTAATCTACTAATTTAATCCCGAAACGCTTTGAGAATTGTGGGCATCATTCACATTACCTCGCTGAAGCGATCTGCTTTATGCATACATTTTTAAAAATAAAAAGTGGTCGATTAGAAACTGACTGCTTAAATCATAAAAATTACCAGGTTTATAAGCTTAAATTGAACACACTAGCCTGAAAATGTACGTAATTTTAATAAACCATTAAACAATCCAGTCACCCCGTGATGAAGCTTTTAAAATGTGGGAAAATGACCATACAATTTAAAAGCTCCAGTTTTTAAATGTGTGCCACTAAGTAAAGTACAGGATTGCCAACTTTCTACGCTTTTTTAAAACAATTTAGTTTAGTGGTACCTAAATTTATGTTTTAATGTATTAATTTTTATTCGTTTGAACTTAATTCCCACACAACTAATTTAAAAGTTCATATCGCCACTTTATTCTAGCTTTTCCGTGGTGAGATTTTTAAAATTTTGGCAAAATTAGCAAAAATTTTGAAAGCCTTGGGTTTTCTTGGTCATACTATAAAATATTTTGCAAAAAAGCGTAGTATCTGGCCAGTGGCGTACGCAAGGGAGGGGTTTAGGGGTTTGAACACCCCCCTTGAGCTCAGACAAAATGGCAAAAATAAACATTTTAGTAGAAATTATGCGGGTATTACTTTTTAAGACTATATATTTTTATTTGCCTTATGCCTACATTTTTATCTCATGGTATTTCTCAGAATACTGAAAAAAACATTTACTATAATAAGGTTGTACTTTTGAAACTAAATTCACGTGATATTGTTATGGACTGGTTCCTTTCTGTTCTGCCAGTCGCGATAGTTTTCGAGACTGGCTGTCATTCGCGAGGTCTTTACTCGATGATTCTGGAATCTTAGACGTTCTGTCGTCTTTGAGACAATTCGAGAATTTTGGAGATGCGGTGAAAAATTATATAAAAGGGGGAACGGAGTACAATGTAAGTTTTTCTGTTGTACAGAAATGTGATACTTCCGTTGAAGAAAACGTTTCTAGCATAACAAAATCTGATGAATGTGAAAGTGGCCCTCAAAGTGTTACTTCCCACCCATATGACATTGGACTTTTTTCAGAAGATATTACATGCGAGAAGATATTACATTATGTTCTTAAACTTAAAAAATCAAATCAAAATTTAATCAAACAATGTTGTCTAAATAAAAAGTCAAAACTGTCTAGCTGTCTAAATAAGGGAAATAATCGTGCTTTATTACATACTCGAATTTCTTTTAGTAGCTTCAAAAAATTAAGAACACCCCCCTTGAAAAAATTCTGCGTACGCCACTGTATCTGGCAGACCTGAACTCCTATAATGTTTATTTGTTTGTAAAAAATGTAGTTGCCCTGTAAAGTTGAATTTAATAACAAAATCAGGGAGGGAAATAAATTTGTGATTTGGTTTTAACGCCCATTTATTTCAGTATGGTGTCACACGTAGCTTCAAAAACACCATTAAGCTTACTTATATTTTATTAGTTAATTTAGTTTTGCTAAAAAATAGCACTGCAATTTACCTATGCATCTACTCATATTAGATCCATATAATACTTTAAAACTTCACCGAAAATTAACTGAAAAAAGTGGCTCTTAATATGCATAATGTGTTGTTTATGATAGTGGAGGTCGAATTCACAAAGAACCAAACAAAAATCAATAATCATGCATCGATTTTGCTACCATTAGAAAAAAAAACTTTCCCACAAAGAGCAGCATGTTGTCATCCAAGACATTCCTATCAAAGTAAAAATTTGCTTCGTCTCAGTAAACAAATAACTGCTCCGTCTTCTGCAAGATATTTTATGAAGTGGCATTAAATAAAAACTCAAGTTCTGCAGAAATTTGTTTAACGTCATCAATACTTTCAAAACGTCACCGTGAATGAACTGAATAAAAGTGGCTTTTTATATGCATATTTGGATTGTTTATAAATAGTGGCGATCGAATTCACATAGCACCAAACAAAAATCAATACTCATGCATCGATTTTGTGTTACCATTAGAGAAAATTTTTCCCGCAAAGAGCAGCAAGTTGAAATATCTGACATTCGTTTAAAAGTAAAAATTAATTTCGTCCTAGCAATAAAAAAAAAAACCCTTTAAAATTAAAGCCATTTGGGTTACAAAATGACGTCATGTTCATTGCAGATTGATATAACTCCATGATACATATTTGAACAAAAGTCAAACGCAACAACCATTTTTAATGTTTTAAAATGAAAGTTAATAAGCGTAAATACTTAATAAACTTGGTATTTTGAATCATCTACATAACTGCAAACTTTTACTGATTTTGAGAAATATTTTTATCTTACTACTAAAATTGTAGTAAAACTTGTTCTTACTATTTATTTCTTGGATTTATTAGTTTAATTTAAGCTATTTTAATTACCACGACACTGAAATAAATTAAATATATATACATAAGCCTTTAATATTTATATGATAGTTTTTTTGAGCTCTTAACAATACATACATACACACATATGTATAATGGCAGACGGGCACAGGATTTGAAAAGAGCAAAAACTTTATTTAACTATCAGAGAACAATTATCCAAGTGACACAAACTGGATGTGCTCATGAATAAAAAATAGGAAAAATCTTCCAAAACAGTCCCGATGATATGTGTCGTCTCATAGTAAAAGGGAAACAACTGATCCATTAAATAGATCGAGGGCAAAAAATGGTTCTCATGCTTAATAAAGAGAAAACGTTAAAATGTTAATTCACTTGACATTGTTAATTTAAATGCTCTTGGGAAAACCATCCTCGAAACAATACGAAGTTAACTGAACAGGATAAAACTGAGGGACCACGGGCGACTAAAAAAGCTGATTAATAAAATTCCAATTATTGTTATAATATTAATTACCATACAAATAAGTTATCAGTATTTTTAGCATTATCTGCATAAATTATCATGCTTTTATCAGCATTTATGGCAACACGCCAATATTTGTGCACAAATCCTCAATTTCGTAGACAAAGTCTTGTAGTCTTGAAATGGCCAAATCAGGGTTTAAAGATTTTTGGACAACTGCCGTGTTATCGGCATAGAAGGCAGTATATTATTTTTTTATTTTACCATTGAAAATTGTTTTAAGTATGAATAATTTGAAATGTAAGTCATATTTTATTTTATAAGCTTATACTAATGTTCAACTCCATAGCCTTGTAATTTTGAACCCAATCCAAAAGACAAGGGAACACCTAAATCAAGTATTGGGGGAAATTCTCCTTTGATGGAACTAACCCAGAATTTGCGTTGCATGGAGAGGAAAACCACGAAAAACCTCACGGTCAGCCTGAAGACTCGAACCCATGATCTGTCCACTGAGTATATTTTCACGTCAGTACTGTGGTCGGTGCGAGCCCGATACGGAATTTGAATCGACCAGCTATCGCTGGCATTCGAACCCGATTCACATTATTGGAAAGCGAGCGCTCTATCCCCTGTGCCACCATGGCTCAAAAGTCATAGTAGTAGTTACGATTGAACAATTAAAGAGAAAATAAATAAAAGTTTATTCGAGTGTCTACCACTTTTTACTCTTTTAATCGCCAGTGGCATCCTGGATATATAAAAAAAGTCCTATCTTCATATTGCTTGTCATTCTAGAATAAGAATTACCTTTATCGTTATTGGAAGTGTTTATGCTTAAACTTAAAATCTGATATTGCTTTTAAATTTCTTGCAAATTCTTATATTGTTTTTATTTCCTTTGCAGTTCTGTAAGGAATCAAGAAAGAGCACGGAATCCACTCTACTTCTTCACGGAATAAATCTTAAAAGAAGATGGAAACAAATTTGCGGTGTTGTTTAAAATATATCTTTATTTGAAGAAAATATGTTGCAAGCGAACATGAAGTAATACCTTGAATTGAGAAAAATCGATATCATTGTTTTCTTATTCTTGTTGTTGTTTATTATTATTTTCTCTTGTTCACAATATTTATTTAGAAAACAGAGCTGTACGTTTGGAAGTGCTTAATATAGAAGAATGGTTAAAAATGAAAAACAAGATATATTTATTCTGAAGCAATTTTTTTACTGAAAAGCAAATTGAAAATTATCTTTGAAATAAAGAGCTTATTTTGACTTAATTTAGAAAATCGTTCAAGTGAAAATTAAGAAATTTTAAACATATACGTTTTTAATATTATCTTTCGAAAATTAAAAGGAAAATGTCTCACTTATGTAATTTTTATGAAGATAGTTTGAAATATCAAAAAAATGATTGATTGATACATATTAATTTATTGATATACTCAGTTCAATCAATCAATTGTCATAAGTAATTTAATCACTTTTGCCTTCGTAATATTCTTTATGAATGAAAATGGTGCAATATTTCAAGGGAGATGTAAATTTTACTTACGAAATGTATACAAGCATAAGCTCTGTCCTAAATCAAAATTGAAAAAGCAATATTTCAAGTGTATTGAATACCAGCCTTCAAAAATGTTATAACGATGGGTTCTCGTCTATATAAAGTAAAGTGTAGTTTCTTACATAGTTAAAGGTACTTATCATGAACCTAGACTCAGAAAACCGAGTGGTGTTAAATGTTGGTGGCATACGTCACGAGACTTACAAGGCCACTCTCAAGAAGATACCAGCCACCAGGTTATCCAGACTTACCGAAGCTCTAGCCAATTACGATCCTGTCCTAAACGAATACTTCTTCGACCGTCACCCTGGTGTCTTTGCTCAAATCCTTAATTACTACCGATCGGGCAAACTTCACTATCCCACCGACGTCTGTGGTCCACTCTTCGAGGAAGAACTGGAATTCTGGGGTCTAGATTCGAACCAGGTTGAACCCTGCTGCTGGATGACCTACACGCAGCACAGAGACACCAAAGAGACACTGGCTGTTCTGGATCAGTTGGATCTGGACACGGAAAAACCCAGTGACGAAGAAATAGCCATGAAGTTCGGTATGGAGGAGGAGTTCAAAGCTGGCACGTTGTCATGCTGGCAAAAAATAAAACCTAAGATGTGGGCTTTGTTCGATGAACCTTATTCTTCGACGGCAGCAAAGGTATGTAAACATTTATATAATAATACAACGGTTGTTCAAAATAACGGTCAAAAAAAGTCAAAATTCTTGATGGTCCCATCAAAATATTTTGTTGGTTTCAGTGCCATTCTTGATGGTTCAAAATCATTTGATGGTCACCATCATCCAACATTTTCCATTATGCGTTCATGGTTTTTGATATGCCCACAAACTTCCATCATTCCATGAAGAAAAATTCTTCTTTAATACTATCAGGGGTCTGTCCAGACATTTTGTGAAAGGTCCTGTTTTTGTAAACTTGTGAAAAAACTGTTCGTAATTTGTGAATGTAAAATAAGCGTTAAGTGACATTCTTTCAACCAGGGTCCCGCTTTTGTGAATTTGTGCAAATAGGGTCCTGTTATTGCAAAAATTGCTAAAAACCTTTTCAAGAAGTTCTTAAATTGTAAATAGATACAAGATTCTGCTCAACAATTGCTGCTACTAAATTAGAGATTCAACATACAAATATATGGCCTGTACTGCTCAACACAGAATATTCCTTTCGGGACGAATAATGGAAACAAAATCACTCACATTTTTAATAATTTCAAATGACATATTTTAAATAACACAACTTAGTAATGTATCACTTTCAATGTGTTACGCAAACTTAAGTAAACTTAAACAATTCTTAAATTTATATTTTACTGAAAAAAATATGCCGGAAATTAATTTTTATTTACATAATATTCTATTAATTAATTTTACGAATAAATATAAATCGATCCGTTATTTATTTACCAAAACAAAGTATAATCTAATATTAATAAGAATGCGCACACGATGCTTGTAAAAGTATAAATATTTTCTTAGAATACTACATTTGGAATTTAAACCTTGGGAAACTTAGTTTGTCTCGAACCGTCTTTCTTCCCCCCCCCGGAAAGGGTTTATTCGATTAACAAAACAATAATGAAGATAAACAAATTAAGGTTCCGATTAAAAGATAAATTATTTTGTGAAGGGTTCGTTTTTATGAAAAGATATTTTTTGAAGGGTTTTCATAAAAAATTTCTTCTAAACAGACCCCTGAATATGATGGTTAAACATCAAGAGAAGTATGATTTTCGTGGACCAACAATCCATGGTGGTTCCGTCTATACATTTTCTTGATGGTTAAATGTGAATTCTTGTTGGTTCTCAGTGATATACCATAAAAACCATTCGGCTTTTTTTTTATGCTGGGCCGTTATAAATCAGTCTTAATTCCTACATTGTAATGATGATTGCTCATGAACGTTCCAACATTTGATTTCTAAGATGCTATGATGGAAATTAGTGATGGTCCATAATGGTACAACACTACCTATCCATGATGGTTTCATAATAATTATTGTTGATTCAGCAGGAATATACCATCAAAACAATTTGTTTTGTTTTTTATGTCTGACCATCAAATATCAGTCTTAATTCCTATATTGGAGTGATGGTGGTTCATGATCGTTCCAACATTTGATTTCTAAGAAACTATGATGGAAATTTCTGATGGTTCAACATGGACAAACCATCAAAACAAGTTGCTATTCTTATGTTGAGCCATCATGAATCTGCACGAATTCCTACATTGGGGTGATGGTTACTTATGTTGTTTACCATCAAAAAATATTATGGTTCATGATGGAATAATTGATGGTTACCATCAAGATTATGTTGGTCCCTCAATGGAAAACCATCAAAAATTTTGACTTGAAAATGTTTCTATGTCTACAATTTTTCTTTTAGCAGCAAATGTTGTAGAAAAACAGTTGGCATAAGTTGAAATATCACGCTTGAAGCTTTTAGAAATAATATCATTTGTACCCATGCTGATCGATCGAAATAAGAGCTGGAATTTAACATTTTTTTTCTAAATTTAATACCAGCAATTTTGAACTGAACTGTACAGTAACTGGGAACCTGAGGCCACTTGCGGCCCTTTTCCCATTCATTTTTAGCTTGAACTTTGTGGTGTTTCGATGAGGTGGTGGAATGCAAATGAAGTATTCATGAAGATCATTGAGTTCTGACTGTGTTGTTATATGCAGATAAGACCATAATGTAAGAATATGAAGTTGAGGTAAGCAGGTATGATGAAAATGAGCTTATGTATATATGCTATTGATGTCGAGAATATGATACAATAATATTATACTATTGGTATCTTGTCCTCAGTTAAATTTTCATATTGGAATATCATTGAAATTTGCTGCAGAGCAAGAGATCGCTTTCTCAGAGAATTCGATATTTAATTAGGCTACATATTTGTCTATTGCATTTATTTTAAGGTCATGGTTTATTGTGGAGTTTTTATTACGAACCATCTGGCTTTTGCTATACTTCTTAGTTTTTTTATTCTGGCAGACTATTAATTTGTTTAGTTGAGTTTGTGTTGTATTTGTCAAGACTGGTGAGGCATAGTAATTTTGAAATTATTCTATATAATATTTATATAATAATGGTAATATGGTATGATATATACAATGATGGTAATGAAAAAGAAAATCAGCTTTGGTCTTTCTCATTTTGGTCGATGCAAATTTTGCCTGTAGCACTACTTCTCAAAGCTTTCAGCATAATTTTTCAAATTGTGCCAGCAGTCTTGCTGTGCCTTCTCAAACATTTACTGCTTGTTTACATAGAGTTAGTATAGAAATGTTTCCATTGTCTTGACTAACCCGTATAGTTCAAACAAGCTACATATTTGCCCATTCTTCGGATTTTCGATTTTTCTATTTTAAGTTATTTTCCAATTTATGCTTTTTTATAAATGTTTGGAGCTATAAATTATATTTGCAATGACTATGAATATCCATAATAATTATACTCCGTAGTGATGTGCGAAAATCGATTTAAAGTAGTTCTTTTATACTGGGCATGCGAGAAAATGTTTTCATAATTTTGTTGTAGTGAATCGTAGAATTCTTACATATAAAATTACTACATATAAAAATTATATTATGTAGAATTGCAAATTACACTACCCTATAATGACCAGACAGCAAGGACATAATTATATACGGGGAAAACCCTTTATCGTTTAGAACTTTCTTTTCAAAAGTACAAAAACTACTTAGAAAATTGCTTGAAACTTTTTACGTTTTTAAGATATTTAAATCAAATTTTTTCCATTAATTGCCAAATACGATTCCTTATAAAATTATGTAAAAATAATTTTAAATTTTTTCCGCTCATGCGCAGTACGAGATAACTGACTTGAAATACTCATACCATGCACATTTTTTTAAAATTTTAAAACAATAATTTTGTAACTTATTTTAAATTGCTCCAAACTTGTTTTTTTTTTTAATTTTATGGAATACTTTTAAAGTTACAACAAAAAAAAACACGAGAGAAAAAAATTAGTTTTTTTTTTTATAAAAATGTTCATATTTCTATAAATATTTACGCTCGATTTTCAAGATTTTATGCAAGCATAATTGCTTGATTTTCTGGCATAAGGTGTTAAAAAATACTTGTTTTCTTCTGTAATTTGTTGTCGGTCCCTAAAACCCCTGAGAGCTTTATGAACTTTATCGCAAAGTATGAAAATCACATGAACTAAACACTTCTAAAATTACAAAGTAGTCCTCTAAGTTTTTCTTGAGAAATATGAGAAACCGAAAGTGTCTCTTCCATTATTGTAGGGTAGTGTATTTATATTATTCATATAATGGATTCATATTTATCATATAATGGATTCATACATTATGGAAGACAGAACTACATTGTAAAATATATGATGTAATCTTTCCGAATATTATGTTGAAAATTCTAAAAAATTGTGTTAAGGAACACTTTATCTCATACGAGCGCGAAATCAAGTTTAAAGCGTGTAATCTAAATCCAAACACTTAAAATGTAATATTCTTACACGAATTCTCGCGCATTTACACCAAACGAGAATCATTTTTTCTTTTCCGAAAGCTTCAATGTTGGCGCGAAATATATTGACGATATTCAAATGAATATCCACAGTATTTTGCCTGCAATCCAGAATGATCTGGCTTGACGTTTGTTTTTTTCTACCCTGCAATATATCAACATTAACAAATATTCGCCGTTTTTAGTTGTGTAATATTGTTGATTAAATTTTTATTTTTAAATCTTGACGAACTCTATTAAATGATTTTATAAAGTATGTAGTGTATTTACTCTTGTTAATGCACAGTGCTTTTTTAAAGTTGTTGTTACATATGGCTTTATTGGAAATATTAATCCATATACAATGTTCAGCTTTAAGTGAACATAAACAAGGAGTAAAAAGGAACAGAATTACATTAACATACAAAGAAAACACATGAGCCGCTCAGAAGCCAATGCGGTTAAGTCCATTTTTTGATATTTTCTGATTTTTGGAAATTTTGATGAAATAAATAATAATCTTCTTAGTTATTAAAGGATTTACTCATTGGTTACTTTTTTCTAGGTTAGGCAGCCCTTTTTTAATAGCTTCTGAATATATTGTATAATAATTTCAAAAGCCATTGTGAATAAGTCCACCTTTTATCAATATTTTTTTACATAAATTTTGAAATAAAAATTAAATTTTTCTTCTTTCCATATTTGTTGGTAACACTGAAAAACAAGAAATTCATAATAACTCAGGGTTGCCAGACGTAGTATTTTTAATACTACGGTAGTATTTTTTTACCAAAAAAAGGGGTAAGGTATTTTTCATAGTATTTTTTTGAAATGTGGTTTTTTTTATTTATTTTATTTTCATTTCCTAAAACAAAGAAAAGTGCCACTCTAGTTTTGAAGTAAAAAACAATTTTTGAAATAATCCAACAGTTTATTTTCTATTAGTCACTGTATCTAGTGATGATTGGGAAAAATAAAAGTTCGTTTATACTAGTAGACTAGTAGATATAAATTTCTTATCTTTTTCAGCTGCCAAAAGGCATAAGTCCTAAAATTTTTAAGATGCTGTCATTATTTCAATAAATACTTACGTTTTTATTTACACATCTTGTGCATATCTTGTTTTTTTGCAGAGTTTA